AGCGCACGCTGGTTATTCAGGGTGCACTTCTTCCTACAAGTCTCCACATGTGCAATATAGACAAAAAGGTTTTCTGAACATTTTTGATACAAGGTTCATGGAATCTGCTCCTGCTTAAATCTACAGATGTGGAACCCAGAAATGTGGAGAGTCCACTATTCACAGAACCATTTGTCTTAAGTTTTCACTTAATAACTATTGGCCAAAGTTATCAATCTGCAAAAGAGAATTATGCGCTCTCGATCAGTCTCTCATCCAACAAGTATTTGCGCTGTCCCAGGCTCTGGCAACACTGTGGGAACAGACTCAGTAAAGTACCTGTCTTCTTAGACTTCACATGCTGAAAGGAGAAATATGATATTAGCAAAGGCACACATCCATAACTGGAGCGCTAACTAACATGCTAAGTGTGAGGAAAATGAAACTGGATGATGTGTCAGAGACTAGGAAGAAGAGAGACTTCCCTAACTAGAAGTTACAAAATGGCTTCCCTGACAGGAGAGATCTGGATAAAAAAATCTGTGCTGAAATGGGAGGGCAAAGTATCCTGTGTAGAGGGCCTAGACCCTGCTCCGTGGCCAGGTCTGAAGAGCAGTTTGGTCACACTCAGTGAGAGAGCAGAGGTAGGGCGAGCAAGTTGAGCTCAGAAAGGCCCAGGGGCCGCCCAAGACAGAGCCTTATTAACCAGGGTGGAGACTCTAGTTCTATTTTGTCTTTTTATTGTCTTTCTCCCTTTTTTCTTTCTTTCTTCTTTCCTTTCTTCTCTCCTTTCTCTCTCTTTCTCTCTTTCCTTCTTTCTTTTTTCTTCTTTCTTTTTGAGACAGGGTCTCCCTATGTTGTACTGGCTGACCTAAAATTCACTGTGTAGACAAGGCTGCCCTTGAACTCACAGACCTCCCTGCCTCTGTCTCCCAAGTGCTGGAATTAAAGGCGTGCACCACCACGCCCTGTGGATATTTATTTATTTATTTATTTACTTATTTATTGAGGAGCCTTCATACTCTTTGGTATCATGGCAATATGTTTCTACCCAATGGTGTGCAAGGTTCTCTTTTCCCCACACCCTCCAAGCACTTACCTTTTAAGTATTGTTGTGTAGCCTTAGAGACTATTGAGACTTTGGATCCCACCTCTCATTCCCTTGGTGTAGTAGTTTGAATGAGAAATGCCCCCCACAGGCTCAAGTAATTGAACACTTGGTCCCCAGTTGGTGGCACAGTTTAACGAGGTCATGGAATCTTTAAGAAGTATAGCTTTGCTGGAGGAAGGGGGTCACCAGTGGCAGGCTTTGAGAATTCACAGCCTTGACCCACTTCCAGTTTGCTCTCTGTGCTTGGTATTTGGATTGAAGATGTGAGCTTCCTGCCCCTGCTGCCATGCCTGCTGCTTGCTGCCGTGCCTCCCTGCCATGATGGACTCATCCCTCTGGAACTGTAAGCCAAAATAAGCTCTTTCTTTCTTCTATAAGTTGCCTTTGGTCACGGTGTTTTATCACAGCAGCAACAAAGTAACTAATATACAAAAGTAATACTAGAAAGGTAAACATCAACCTTGCCACTCTTTCTGACTGACTTAAATTATTGTATGAAATCCTGGATGTATCTCTGCTTTGTTGCAGCCCATTAAGGCAAAGTGACTTCTTCCTGTTCAAAAGAATAAATCTCAGTTCTATATCTGGCCATGGATGGAGAACTGACAATCTTTTTTTTTTCTTTTTTAAAAATTATTTTTATTTTAAATGTATGAGTGTACTGCCTGCATGTATGTAAGTGCACCCGTGTCATCCAACGTCCAAGGAGGTCAGAGGAGGGAGTCAGATCCCCTGGAATCGGAGCAACAGATGGTTTTTAGCTGCCATGTAAGTGCTGGGACTCAAATATGGGTCCTCTGCAAGAGCAGCCAGTGCTCTTAACCACTGAGCCATCTCTCCAGCCCTGACACCTGATATTCTATGTGACCCAAAACATTACAAACTGTTGTCTCCTCCTTTTAAGAGTCAACTGTCAATCACCAGTCTAGGAGTCCATCCCCCAGGAAATCTAAATCACCTGAAGACAAGCTAAAGCAAGGGAAGAATTAATTATCCCCTTAATGAGCTAATATAATTTTCCTTCCCAGAAGCCCCTCTGTCAGGCAGCTAATTGCAGAATTTCTATCCAGCAGCACTCAGTGCCTCGGTAGCCTGAGCCACGTGGCCTTCCCATTTGAGTCTGAACTCAGAAAAAGATAACTTTTTCCTCACTTTATCTCTTTTTTTGATATCTAGCAAATTATTATTTAATAATTGTTTCCTTATATTAAACATAAGTCTACACATTCACAACAGTCTCATACAATAAATACTGTGGTTAGACACAATGTCTTAACAAACCAGTTTCAAAACCAAGACCAATTACCTTAACAAAATTCTGATCAGAATAAAATGTAACTCTAAAATTTAAAAAACATTTAAACTAATAACATTTAAAATCTTTTATGGTTTAAACAGTACAAGTGTATGTACACAGAGGAAACTTTTAAAACCAAGCAGTACTTCATACACATATCTATACACACACACACACACACACACACACACACACACATATGAGAATCTCATCTCAGAAATGGCTGTGCTGAACAGAGCCATACACATTGATGTTAGATATAGGGGCTTTCACTTGAAGAAAGCATTTTCAGAAAAACCATTTACATTTTAATATGGTAAATATTTCTTTTTTCTTAGTAAAAGCAGATATTTTAACATATATTATGGAACAATCTCTGCACTGAATTATTTACATGTATTAATACATTATACAATCATTCTGAAAGATAATAGCAAGCTAGATCTAGGACTTATAGTCTTCTTATCTACAATTCTGTAAATATTCTGTTGGAAAAGAGAAGTTGGTCCTAAAATATTGGTTCACTTATCTTGAGAACACTTCTTTTCTGATAAGATCCTGTTTCTTTTCTTTTTTTTTTTTTCCATGTACTCTTTCTTCATCTTTTATTTTTTATGGGGCTTTTGGCTACTGTAACATTCCCCCCTCTGAAGAGGTAACCTTAAAATCTTTTAAGGATTAGATAAAAGTTCACAGATACTTCTGACATTTTTGGCCTTTGGAATGGAGTATGTTGCTAAGAGGCCCAAGGACACTGTGAGTTTTAGCCAAGAAACTGGCTATTTTTCTTTGAGGTCTTTTTTCCCTAACTGCCTAGGCAATTCCTACCTCCTATTCTTATCACACTATCCTCTGAAGAAGTTACCCAACTTTAGATAGGGAATCAGGATGCAGACTGCTCTGGCTTCTTCCATGCTGAACAAGGACGCAGGGTAAGGCAATTAGAGTACCCCTTCAGTGCGTGGCTTGCTCTCTCTTCTCCATCTTCCTGTTCTGGGCAGCTACTGAGGATTGCAGCTTGCCTGCCCTTTGTCTCTCAAACTAATAAAGCTGCTCTTGAGCTTCCACCAAGTCTGTTTCTAAATTCTTTGATTAATGAAACTAAGAAACCACAAAAGGAAGCCCCTATAACCAGACTTTACCTGGGGAGATGGAAGGAAACATCTACTTGCCCCAGTTACAGCACAAGTGACAGACCAAAGTGATAATGCCACCAAAGGCATTATTTGTCTGGTTTTGCTTTCAAAGTCTTGTTCAAACATCCTCACCTAATCCAAAGCCATGAAGCAGTTTCATAGTTTAGGGCCTTACATTTAAGTCTTCAAAAGATTTTATTTTCAAATGTGTGTAGGGAGAGTCACTAAAAAGAGGCTGCAAGGGTAGGGTATAGCCTGACCTGTGATTACTTGAAGTCATGAGACACTAGGCTACCAGGAAGGCATAGAAAGACTGGAGGTGGCAGTAGTTTTGATGAGTGATATTGGTGTACATTGGTGGGTGATAGTGACTTGAGCTGGGATGCTGGCAGAAGCCTACCAGCCAATCAGAAAAAAAAAAAAGTGGATAATGGGGAAAGTACATGTGAGTCAGCTAGTTGTTGGCAAAATCCTACAAGCTCTATTTTTGGAGGAAACACAATTTATAGTACATTTCCAATCTTTTTTCCTTTGAACTCATTAGCAAAACAAACCTTCCAGAAGCAAGCAAAGCCTACTCTAATTTACCTGTACACATAGGGCCCTCCAAAGAAAGGTCCTGAGTGCAAGAGATAGTGTCCCTTCTAACACTTTATCTGGCTTAGATATTGGTTCAATGACTGGAGGGGGCTCTGTGGCTTGAATGACAGCTTGCCTGGCGTGGATGACACTACACTTCTATCTAGTCTCTTTCCTTTCCTGAGCTCTGAAGGCACATAAAAATTATTTGCTTTCATGACCAGAATCTTGACAAGATTCTGTTTTAACAAGTAGTGTGTGGTCCTTAGCCACACTGGAAAGAGTCTAATTCTAACTAAGCATTATTCTAATTCAGAAGGGGTAGGTTGTGGGAGATCATAGATCACTTAATCGAGAATGAACTTGAAAACCAGGCACCAAAGTCTATGTTGGCTTAGCAATAACAAGGCTACCAGGTCTAAGGGAATTATCTCTCACTCCCCAGAGAGGTGTTCAGAGTCCAAAGCATAGTGTTGAGCTGGGTCCTCTAGGACCCATGGCCCTCTCATTCACAAGGGATAAAAATGGAGACCATTGACCTTAACCTAAGGTTGAGCAAGTGTCTGAAACCACTGACTGGTATGAAAATAGACCTGAGCCATTCGACATCTTTAAACTTGGGTACTGGGGTCTTCTGCCTGCCCTACATAAAGCATTCAAGTGCCTTTAATCCCAGCACTTGGGAGGCAGAGGCAGGCAGATCTCTGTGAGTTCAAGGCCAGCCTGGTCTACATAGTGAGTTCTAGGCCAGCTGGGGCTACAGGGAGACCCCATCTCAAAAAGACCAAAGAAAGGAATCATGCCTCAAGAAAAGCACAATTACTGTACATTGTATTTTATTTTGAGGGTTAATAGCATTTATTTGTTTAAAGTAAGCATTGTAAATATGTCACAATTTCTTAAAAATGAACAAAGAAAACCTTTCCTCTTGCCCCCTATGGAACTGGGCCTCTTTCTCAAGGAAGTGCTGGGGTCAGCCTTTTGAAAGAAGGGGTGGCTTGACAGAAAGAATCATTCCAGTCTGCAGCCACCAGCACACACTCTATCATCACACATCTACTCTCAGGGTGGTGGCTTCTGGGAGTGACAGCGCCAGTGGGGGTGAAGGACAGATGAGGTAAGAAGGCCTTTTCTGATAGTCATCACGATGTCTCCTGGGGCGCAGTATCCATCCCCATGCCTGGGGCTGGCTAATGGAATGCATGACAGAGAATGTTCATTTCTTTAAAAAAAAAAAAAAAAAAGGGTTTCATTAGCATATATTAATTATAGATAATGGATTTCATACATATAATGTATTTTGATCATATTCATACTTCCTCATCCCTATGCCTTGTCCACCTCCTATTCCCATTTAACCCCTTACTTCTTCCAACCAGGCCCTCTTCTATTCCTATTTGTGTGTGTGTGTGTGTGTGTGTTTATGCTTGTGTGACTCAATGGGTTTCATTAGAGTTGTTTACAGGAGTGTGGGTGAGAATTTGTTTACAGAGCCATGGCTACAACTCTGAAGATAAAGCTCTCCCACCTCAACTCTCACCCATGTTATCATCAAGTAGGGGTGGGGCCCCAAGAGACTGTGCCTCGTAAGTATGTATCTTTTGGTCTTCCTATCAGATCTTGCAGCTAGTTGGTGAGAAGGGAAAAACAGAAAAATCACCTCTTCTGTGGCTCAGAATCATGTTGCAGAACTCAGAACTCAGAACCCAGTTCAGTCCTGGGTTCTATCCTATGCACTTCCTCAGCACCCACCCTCTCCACCTGCCCTGCCATAAGGAGCCTTGACCATGCATCACAGGGTGTATGTAGATGGAAAAATGTGCTTTCTCCAAGTGCTATTTCAGAAAGTTGAGTCAGAGAGTTGTGCTTTTGAATTCAGGTCACTTGTTTCTTGGTAACAATAAAAGTGGGGGTGGGGGCAGGTGAAAAGAGACCATTTTTATCTGGAGGCTGTGACTGCCACCTGGTGGATGCTGTTAGTTGAACAACTACAAGGAGGCCTGCTTTCAGAATTAACCATTGCTTCACGCTCTTCTTCAGTGGTTTCCCTCCAGGAGCAGCGAGGTTGAATGGAAGACAGAGGCAACTACAATGCTGTACGTGACTGTTGTCAAAGGGACAGTCTGCAAGGCAGGTGAAGGAATGCTGGTGCTGAAGCCACCGTAATTCTAGAACTTCTTTCCTGTGACTCTGGCTTAACCACTTCTATGCTGCCTCTTCTCTATCTGAAAAATGGAGCTTGTAATAGTCCTTACCTCAAAGAATAGGACTCAATAGTTCTCCCTTATCCGAGGTTTCAGTGACTCATAGATATCCTTGGCTGGAAAATACAAAATAGAAAATTCTAGGAGTAAATTCATATTTAAATCACTAGCCATGCTAGGTAGCACGCTGAAATCCATTATTCTGTTCCAACACACTCAGGAAAGGAATGCTTTTGTCTCACTTATACAGGCAGCATATCAGTCACTTAGTAACTCTCAGTCACACCAACTGTTGTGACATAACAGGGTTTGCTTTAAATAACTTTATTTGGGACTGGAGAGATGGCTTAGCAGTTAAGAGCATTGACTTCCTTTGCAGAAGACCCCAGTTTGAGTCCCAGCACCCAGATGGCAGCTAACAACTATCCTAACTCCAGTTCCAGGGGATCTGATGCCCTCTTCTGACCTGCAAGGGCATTGCATGACACAGGTGCACTTACACACATGCAAGCAATATACTCATACACATAAAATAAAAATAATAAAATATTTTTAAGCAACTTTATTTAACTTAACAATGGATCCAAAGTGTAAGAATAATGATGCTGGTGATACATATGTGCAGAGAGAAGCCATACAGTGCTTCCTTTGAGTGAAAAGTGAGAGTTGATCATATGTGTATGTAAAGGAGAAAAAAGACTGTATATAGGGTTTGGTACTATCCAACTTTTCAGACATCCAATGGGTGTCTTAGAATGTACAGTGCTTGTGTTAAAGGGTCATCATGAGAATTAAATGCCATACTCCATGTAAGCACCTAGCACAGATCTGGCTCATTAAAAACTATTCAGTGGCAGTTGCTTAGTAGTAACCCAAAGCCATACACCTGCCTTCCAGAGACATTCCAGCTACCCCACAAGGCCCAGAGACACTGAAAGTGACCCTGCACCACCACCTCTGGCTCCTCCCTGCTCAGGACCCCCAAAACTCCTTCTGTGGCCTGTTCAGGATCCTGAACCTTTTCTCTCAGCCCCTTTCTGCTCTGGACTCCCCAAAATACTGTTCACCAGAAACCCTCCAGAGACTGAAGACCCCAGTAAGTGATCCCCCAAAGGTGTTGTGCTTCCTCCCCAAAGTCCTGCTCAGCTTCAGAGCAGGCCAAGGCCCAGAGATCCCTACAAGTGATCTTACCTCTTAGCCTCTGGGTTCCTCCTTGCTCAGGACTCCCCAAAGCCTTTCAGACCTCTTCTCCCTGCCCCTTCCTTCTCTAGACTTTCCAAAGACCCTCCAATATCCCACCCAGGACCTTCAGTCACTACACAAGGCTGGGTGGGAGCACAGGTGGCCTATGTTGTGGGCCAAAAAGTAATAAAGAGAAAAGATAAGCAACAACCTAACTCCAGATGCCTAGGTCCCATCATAAGAAAACAAGCAATATGAAAAACCAAGGCACTACACCATGTCCCCTGCCCCCAAGAATCACCCATCCCATAGCAATAGTCCCAAATGAGAATGCTAAGAAAAAGCACAGGACACAGAGCTCAAAAGAACAGTTATGAACATGTTCAAAGAAATCAAAGGAAATACAAGTAAATACCTGAGTGAACGTAAAGAGGGTAGAGATGAACTGATCAAAGCCCAGGGAAGCACAAACAGATGAAATAAAGAGGATAATCCAGGACGTGAAAGAATTCAATAAAGAGATAGAAAAACTGAAGAAAACTCAAACTGAAATGAAGCTGGAAATGAAAAATTCAGCAGGTCAGATAAAAATGGAGAACCTCACATAAAGAATGAATCATGTAGAAGACAGAAGAGCAGGACCTAAAGACAAGATCGAGGAATTGGATCATTCAATCAAAGAAATGATAATTTTAAAAAAACCCACATGATTAGAATATGCAGGATCTTTAAGACATCATGAAAAGACCAAATCTATGAATAATGGGTGTAGAAGGAGAATTCCAGATCAAAGATATGGAAAACATTTGCAAACGTATATAGAAGAAATACATAGAAGAAAATTTCCCAAATCTGGAGAAAATGATGCCCATCAAGGTACATGAGGCACACAGAACACCAAATAGGACCAGAAAAGAAACTCCACGTGCTACCCTAAAGTTAAAATACTAAATATAGAGAACAAATAAAGGATATTAAAAGTTACAAGAGAAAAACCCTAAGTCACATATATAGTCAGGCACATCAGAATAACAACTGATTTCTCAATGGAAACTTTAAAAGCCAGAAGAACTTAGAGCAATGTGATTCAAGTCCTGAAAGAACACAGATGCCACCCAGACTACTTACGGAGCGAAACGATCATAAATGAAAGAGAAAGAAAAACTCCCCATGATAAAAACAGGCTAAAGGAATCCATGACCACTGAGTCCTTGGAATGAAGGGAGAGACAAGCATACCCAAGACTGTGGTGGAAAAAAAAAGTGATGTTAGGAGAGCTGTTATGCAAATTGGGACTCAGCAAACACCACAAAATCAACAAAATGATGGCAGCATGGTGGTAGGAGTGAGGTGGTTGGTCACATCGGGGTCACAGCTGGGAAATCGAGATGAATGATGGTGCTTCTCTCACGTTTTCCTTCAGCCTCAGACCCTGCCATGGGATGGTATTTCTCACATTTAGGGTTTTCTCACCTCAGTTAAACCTCTTTGAAAACACCTTCATAGACATGCCCAGGTGATTCTAAATCCAAAATGACAATGGAGCTGACAAGATTAACCATCACACAGAACACTTTTTAAAATTTTTTTTCTGGGGGTGGGGGGTGTTCATGTGTGTCATAGTCCCTGTGCAAAATCAGAAGACAACTTGTGGGGGTCAGTTTTCTCCTTACACCATGTGAGTCCTAGGTATTGGACTCAGGTCATCAGTCTTGATGTCAAGTGCTTTTACCCACTAAATCATCTCACTGACCTGGTATTTTAAATTTTAAGGAAGAGCAATTGAAATAACTCTTCTATTCCTTTATCTATCACAGTTTTACATTCATGAAATTAGTATGTTAACAGAGACTCAGAAGGTGGGGTCCAAAGCTGATTTTCAAGGAAAAGATAGAGCAAACCCCAGCTTTACAGACTTTGCAAGTCAAACAAGCCAAAGGATACAGCCAGAAGAGAAAACTCCGCCAGGATGGGACTCTTCCACCCATCACGCCATTAAGCAAACTCCTGAGAACTTTGCTTTTAGGAAAATGGGAATACCTGTCTTTGAGACAGTCTTTACCCCATTTTCCCAAGACTAGGTTCGAACAAAACCATCTCCTCTGGTCTCTGTCTTCCACCTGTGTCAGTAAGAAGGCGGGCAGGAGGACACCCGGCCCAGTTGTTTCCCCAGAGCCCAGAACAATTAGAGTCCTGCAGTTTCAGTTTCATGTTTTACCAGCTGCGGATTATGAGGGAGAGATCCATCCTCAGTGACCTGAAAACTTGCTAACATCTGACCAGCTACCCAGCAGGAGGGAAGCAGGGCTGTGACGACTTCCTATGTGTCGGTGCTCTGCTCCACCCTGCTCACACCTCCCAGACCCCTCCCCCCTTCTCCCTTACAGGACTCTATCATTTCTGGGAAGGATTCCTTATCTCCTCCCTTTGTGGGGACCTAATCAGTGTGTTTGGTGTCCCCCAAGCAAGCAGTGCACCCATTTCTGCTCTTTCCTAGCTACTGGAGCAGGAGGTGGTCAGACCCCAGCCCCAAGAATGAGGATGATTGTGAGTGTCTCAACTCCAGTTGGGTCTCTATCAACACAGAAGTTTACACTAAGTACCTTGGAAAGACAATGTGCATTTTCCTTGGTTATATACCTGCCCAGCCCCTATGGAGAAAAAAGTTTATTCTCCCCTGAGCAGACCTTAAAAGAACAGTCCTCTCACTAGGCACAGTGGATTGTGCCTGTAATTCCAGCAGTCGGGAAGTGGGAAACCAAGACAAAAGCATCACAAGTTTGAGGCCAGCCTGGGCAACACAGTGAGACCCTGTCTGAAAAATAAATAAAGTCCATCCGCCATCCCACCTTCTTGGTACCATTGCAAAAGAAACCCCACTTGACGTTAACCGTGTTCCTGAGCGATGGCACCAGCTCCCACCAGCCTCCTCTGACTCCAGTCTTCTGATGAGAGTCTTTCAGTTCATTCCACCACTTACATATGATATTCAGCATCATGTCTCTCCACAGTCAGCAGTCAGCTCTCAGCACTGGAGTGTGCTGCCTCGTCATTTGACTGGCATGGAACAGGTCGTCCACCCCTATTGGTGTCCCCTCCACAACTCGCTGACTTCCTCTCCGGGGTTCCGCATTTGTACTGCCAGCCTCCAGAACTGCGGAGCTGCTTTTAGTTTCTCAGAAGCACAGAGTCTGACTTCACCTATCAGACGTTGCAGAGAGCATCCCATCTGCCAGAACCCTGCCCTTGCTGCCTCAGTTGAATTACACCACCATTTTTGTTCATTTCCGCATTTGTTCATGCCTGTATCTTTCTTTTATAAAATATTTTATTATTTTTATTCTATATGTATGTTATGCCCGCATGTAGGTAAGTGCACCCGTGTCATGCAATGCCCGCAGAGGACAGAAGAGGCTGTCAGATCGCCTGGAACTGGAGTTGCAGACAGTTGTTAGCTGCCATGTGGGTGCTGGAACTCGAACCTGGGTCTTCTGCAAGAACAGTGTTCTTAACCACTGAGCCATCTCTCCAGCCCCCCATGTCTGTATCTTTCAAAAGATAATGGCCGTATTACGGTTAGAAATGGTGTTTTTATTCACAATGAACTTCCTCTACCTCAGCTCCCTGCCTCAAAAAAAAGCAAATTCTCTCTAGAGAAAAACATCATATGGAATCCTAATATCTATTAGTTTCCTAATATAATATCTTGTACCTGATAAAAGCTTCCTTAGCATATCAGAGCTAAAATCCAATGCCTAAAATCAACAGCTGAATTGCAGTGCCATTATGGTATTGATGATGTAGCTCTGATTAGTGAATAGCTCTGACTGATGTCTAGAAAATATTCTGAAGTTCTGAAGATAATGCATCAGAATGGAAGTGAGAATTCCAGAAATGGAAAACACACATGAATTAAGAACATGATAAAGAGGCCAGGTGTGGGAGTGCATACCTGTAATACCAGCACTTAAGAAGCTGAGACTTTAAGGCCACCCTAGGCTACATGGTAAGTTCAAGACCAGTCTGGGCTATAGAACAAGAGCCTATCTTAAAACTAACAAGGTAGTAGAGAGGTTTGTGCTATAAGCCAGCTTTCAGTTACTGTAACAATTACCTGAGGTAGTCAACTTATAAAGACAAAAGCCTTAGTTTAGATCACAGTTGGTTGGTCCCATTTTTGGGGGGCTTATGTCAAGGCAGCACATGAAGTGGGGTCTGCATGGCAAAGAAAATGGCTGCTCATCTCATGGCTGGGATGTGAAAAAGAGAAAGAGGAAGAGGAAGGGGCTTAAGTCCCACAATGCCCCCCCCCTTAAGGGCACTCCCTTATGACCTAGAATTTTCTTACCAGGTTTCACTTCCTTAAGGTCTACTTCCCATCAGTGTCTCCCTGGGGACCAAGCCTTTAGTACATGGACCAGATCCAAAAGACAGCAGGGCATAGTAGCATATTAGATCTTTCTGCAGAGATTTGTGAATTGGTACATAGATCAGTAGAAACTAGGCAGAAAGAAGCATTAAGAAAAACAAGTGCAGAGACCACAGAAAAGAACACAGAGACATACGGTGTAGAATTAAGACAAATAGAAGCTTGAACCACGTGTAGTGGAATCTCAGAAAAGGAAGAATGCAGAGAAGTAAAATCAAAGCAACAAGGACCCAAACTCAGCAAAACGGACACGGTATTATCATTTTAGTTATTTATTTAATAACCACACACTTAGAAGAAGCATTTCATTACAACAGCACTGACATATTCAATAACAATTTCCAGAGTTAAGATGCATGTCTTTCAAATTTGGCTGTAAAATTTAGGTTCACAGTTGAATTAATACAGTTATACAATATTGTACTCAGTATAAACCCTGTAAGACATAACATTAAATGAGGTTTTAACCTTTAAAAAAGATCTCCATTTCATTAAAATACAGGTTCATACAGAAAAATTCATTTTAATGCAATTGACATTAATATGTTTGCACACACATTTCTAATCTCTATATATCTGATTATTACTAGTCACAGTCGGTTACTCTTTGAGCTCCTTGGCATCTGAGCATGGATATAAAGTTGCCAGGTAGATTTCAATGGCAATGTTTTTCACATCTACTAATTATTAAGAAGCAAATTTTTATGCTTTGAAGAATTATTATTTTTTAATCATTATATTTTAAACAATTTTTAATAACTACATGATTAGACGCTTTTCACTACAGCTTTAACATATTCAGTAACACACTCCAGAGCAAGAGTACATGTCTTTCACAAGTGGGTGCAACTTTCTAGGTTCACAGCCAAATCAATATACAATATTGAACTCAGTATAAGCCCTGTGACACATAAAATTGGATTAGTTTTTAACCTTTAAAAATATCTCCATTTCATTTTAGAATACATTGTTCCTTGCAGACAGACTCATTGTTTTTGCTACTAACACTGGGATGTTGGCGCTTGCATTTCTAATCTGTATGTATCTGATT